AGTTTGCTTCTCCTTTTCTGTCAGACCATGAAGATGTCCAGTGGTGTTATGACAACTTTATTCAACAACGATCACTCAAGTCTGCAGACAATGTACGGCAGCAGCTCACCAGAATCATGGACAGATTCAACCTTGCACGACGCAGCACCGACTTCAACAGTCGCGATTATTATGTGAACATCAGGAAGGCACTTGTGACTGGATTCTTTATGCAGGTACCGTAACAACTCGTAGACCTTAGTGAAAATGGCTTCAGTCTGATATCCCTTTGGTCTGCAACTTTTAAAGGAAAGCTACTTACTTCCCGTGGCTGAAATCCTTCAAACCTTGCTGAAAGCCATTTTGTTAAGGGCTGCCCTTTTTCTTTACTCTGTAAATGAAAACTGCTTTCTCTGACATACCAGTACATGTATATATAGGGTACTGCACAGGCTTGAATCTAGGATAATGTGGACCAATTTCCAAATCAACCAGCCCAAAAGGGGCAAGCTTCTAGAGGGGTCTGGGCTATCTCCCTTGGAAATGTTTTAGATTTTAACTCAAGTCCCCTTTCCTGGGTTCTTCGGTCATTCTGAAAAGTCTGACCAATTTCTGTAAAACGGTGGAAACAGATATGGATCCATGCCACAACATCCTCATTACAATCTTCAGTAAAAGTACAAGTAATGGTAAAAGTATTTTACTGATGGTGTAAGGTGCAGAAAACTACAGTTCACTTACTATTTCCTGCATATAAACCATAGCAATACAAAGAAAAAGAACAGAAAAATTAAACTGACGTGGTGAAAACCGCCAGTCTTAAGGAGGGTGGTTCATTTTACTACCTATCAAATATCTAGTTCCAAAGTATTGAGTTTGATTGTTTGCTGCACCTTAAACTAATAATATCTGCAGTTAGGGGAACAGAGACCTTTTTAGACTGAAATCTCGAAAAGAATGAACCTGTCTTTAACCACATTCATCAGCCATATTGCAAAGCCTCTCATACTGTTTTATGATTAGACACTGAGGAGATTCAAAACTGTTTGGACTAAGAGTCACAAGTTCCCCTAACTGATCTAGTAATTTTATTTGAGGTGCCTCAGATATACTGACCATAAAATCTGTGAATCCCAACTTGCCCCTCCACATTACTGTTCTGATGAGTTAGGTAGCTCATTTGGAGAGGTCTGGACACTACTTGACAGTCAAGGACAACCAGGTGAGTTGAACAGCAGACTGGCAGCAGTTTTAGATTATTATTTATTTTTTATATCACTATTGTTCAAATCAATATACTTCATCTAGAAGGAACACCCAATCAGTGTAATATTCCAGATTGATTCAGGTTTTTGAGAACTGATGAAGACTGATAAATCAAGATAACAAGCATCTCATCTTACATTGCTAACATTAACTTATGTTGAATACCTTAAACGTTTGTAGTCAGAACAGGGTCTACTGCTCTCCTTCCTCCCCGTCCCTTGTAAGTAAAACTTATCAGCTTTCATAGTCTGTGGATTAAATCATCCAGGATTTTTCCTTATAATATCAATACCTTATCACACTCAACAGTGGAGGATATCAATTTGATTTATCAGCAAATTCTCATTACTACAATTAGAAGAAATGTATGGCTATTGTTAAGGAGAGTTGCTATTTTGATCTTGCACCTGATTAGTGCTTATTCACTTTTCAGGTTGTACAACTGCATCCATCTACTTGCTTGGATCACAAGCCTGAGTGGGTGCTGTACAATGAGTTTGTCTTGACAACCAAGAACTACATTCGAACCTGCACTGACATCAAGGCTGACTGGTGAGTCTTGAAAACATATTATATAGGTACAGTGTTTTACTGGAAAATACACTATTTGAAAAATTCATACGAAACTATATCCAAAACCCAAGGCATATTTTAAATATCCTCACCAATGAGAATATTGATGACATCATTTCTTGCTTTTTCACAGTTGTTTTTTCAAACAGTCAATTTGTTTGTATGATAAAAAGAAACTTGCATGGTGGCTGAGAATATGAATTTTATTTTCAAATTGTAAAAACAATATTTTACAAACAAGCACAAAGAGTTTATGTACCACTTGAAAATAATATTCATATCTTTGCACTGCCATGCAATGCCCTCTATGTATAATTATCATCAGTAAGATACCACACAACAGTCAATCACAGTCACTTCTGTGGAATTAGTGTGTTCATTTGAAGTTTGTTACAATCAATTCCCTCTGTTTCAGGCTGGTGAAGATTGCTGCACAGTACTATGACATGAGAAACTTCCCCAACTGCGAGGCCAAGCGTGTACTGGAGAGGATCATTGAAAGGTTACAAAAGAGCAGATAAACCTGCCGAGCTATCACTCACTTTGATTGTGAAGAAAGAAAAAAACATTTCACATAACTTTGAAATCAAGACCATCGAGATATTAGCCTGCACCCAGGTATCTACACCTGTTTGCTGGAGGAAAACAAGAGAGATGAAACATCTGATACACAGTCACTTTGTTTATCAGGTTTTCCGAGTTAGAAACTAACTTGCTTCTTCAGATGTTTCTTAGAAAACTCGAAAATGTTACTCAACTTTCTTTGCATGGTCATACTTTGTAACAGTCTAGCAGTGTTTTATTAGCTTCAACCATGCCGCCATGTTTGCATGCATGTAGCTGTACGCGTTCCAAAAAGCTGGTACTTTTGTAGTCTGTAGCTGTAAATAGTCTCTTTACAACTATGTGTCACAGGCTTGTACAACTTGGTTTAATAAGAAACAAAACCTTTATTGATGTTTCCCTTGTTTGTGAAGTATCCAGAGGGTAAACCTTGAAACTTCTTTTTGTTTTTGGTTGCTTTGTTTGTTTGTTTGTTTGTTTATTTGTTTATTATAGTTTTTCCCCTCCCAGTGGTGCAGACATAGTACAACCCGATATGACGACAAGGAGACATTTCCATATAGCACCGTACTTAATTATGAATACAATTTATGTCATACATGTTATTGTCCTGTCTTCGCACGAGACTCGCAAAATTGTGTAGATAATTAACTCGGGGGTTATACGGAAATCTTGCCGACGGGAAATGAAGGAAACGTGTTGTTTCACGATTTCTTCATTTTCGTAGGCAATTTATTTATCGAGTTTGTTGTATGTGTTGTATTTGCATTGCTATCTTGAAATTGAGTAGTGACAAGATTGTAGCCTGCGTCGCAGACGGAAAACGCGCGGTAGGTAGCGTCTTCGACGCGGGCTACCAAATTATTGATTAATAGATGTTAGCAGATGGTGTTCTGTTTATTTCTGCAATAAAATTGGAAGATAATATAAATTTTGTGTGGTGTGTTTTTCATGGCATTTTCGAATGATGCAAAGGTCATTTTGTACATCACAGAGGTACCTATTGCACAATGGAACTTTTTAGAAGGTCGACACACGTGTGATATGCCGGTTTTGCAAAGTTCTGTTGTGGGGACAAAATGTCGTCCCCGCAACATGTTGCATGAAATTCAGCTGGTTGTCATGAACAGGGACAACATGATCTCAATTTTCAATATATCGTGTGCTCTGCTCTTGCAAACTGTCTCCGCTAGTGTGCACCATGCGTCTTATGGGTTCACACGAAGGAGCTTGTCCTTACTTCACTTTCTCGCAACATGTCTCTCAGTGTGTGTGTGTCGATATTTTAAAGTTGGGTCTGTATTTTCATTTATTCTACTTGCAATAAGAACACGCCGTCTATACTGATAAAATTTAATGTAATGGCTCGTGTCATCGCTTAGCTTCTCGAGGAATGGCTGGCTTGAGAATGATTTTAAAACTCTTGTAGAGCGTAGAAGATAAAAATACAGCTGTTTGTGTCACTTGTTTTCTTTTATCAACATATGATTAACAAACTTTTATTCTACATTACTATAGGCTGGTGTTTACTAGCACACAAAGCATAAGCAATACGGGGAGATGTAGATAAAAAGCCATTTCCGAATTGCTTTTTACCTCTGTGTCAAAACGAGTCCTGGTAAACAACCTTTCATGTGGAAATAAGTTTTTTGCAAGACAGTGAACGTGCAAGTAAATCTCATTTCTATATGAAAGGTTGTGCACCAAGACTCGCTTTGAAATAAAGGAAAGAGCAACACGGAAATGGCTCATTGGCGCCTTTAGGAAATGTCCTAACAAAACGTGCTACTTAGCAGCACCTTACTGCGTGTGAGTACGCTCCTGAGGCTGATGTTTATGGACCAGTGTAAAC